TTAGCATGGAAGATATCATAAATCGATATCAAAACATGAAAACTCGTCGAGAACTATTGTAATAAGTTTGCATTACTATTTAATTGTCTTTTGTAGTATTATATGAACATTTGGTTGTATTTTGTTCTGTTTGAATATTTAGATGTATTTTTTAGTACTATTATTTGGTTGTTTGGTAAATTTTTTTTTTTTTACATATTTGATTATCGATTGTGACTCACCAGTCGGAAATTCCTGGGTCCGCCACTGCTCTCCACCGTTTCCCCACCAAAATCGAGCAAGAATAGAGTGTATCTCATCTAGGGATGACAGTGGATCTAGACCCGACCTGGATCCGTGGATCCATATCCGTTTTTCACGGATATGAGTCTTCAAATTTTGGATCCGTTGGATCCGGGTCGGATCTAGGGTCTTGTTGAAAATTCGGATATGGATCCGGGTCTGACCCCGGACCTGAATCCGTTTACCGTTTATAATTTCCAAAAAAAAGAAAACTAAAATGTCTAATACTAACACAATTCGGCCCAGCCAAAGAAAAAACAAAATACACCTCTTTTCTCTTTCACTCTGGTACAAACCCTAACTTTATCTCTTTGCCCCTACCCTTCTGTCAAGTCGGGGATACGACGACTGTACCTGCTTCAAATCGGTGATCGAACCAGCACCGAGGAGCTTCTTCAATCGCGAGCCAAGTAGCCAACCTACGTTCAATACATCAATAACTCACTTCTCTTTCTTCCGTACTTCAGTAAACACGTTTAATGAGCCTAGTAATTTAATTTCGCTTTTGATTTTTTTATACAAGTTTTGTTTGATTTGAAGAATGTCTGACATGTTTATATGTTCAACGAGCTGTGATTTTTTTCATTTATTTATTTTTAAATAATTTGCATTTTTACATTTGTAGCAAAAAAGAGGGACGTAATCGGTTTATCCAATTTTTCCCGAGGTTTAAATGATTTCAGTTTAAAATGTGTTGGGTTATTATCGAGTTTGGACGTAATCGGTTTGGGTTGTTCTCAGCTTTGGGTTATAACGATTTGGCTTGATAACGGGTTGGGTAACTAATAGTTTGTACAAATTCGTTTGGTTCAATTTTTGAGTTGGAAGGATTTGGGTCGGGTTAGTTTTCTTATTTCAAATATGGGATTTTAACGGTTCAATTCTCTTTTGGACCGTATAAATAAGTCGGGATTAACAGTTCGGGTTAGAAATTGACAGTTCTAATCATACATCTTTCGTACTAAATTAAGTAACATACTCGCTTTCCTTTTCTTATATTTACACTTTGATGACACATATTTTTAGGCAATGTTAAATTTTTTTGGCCAAGCTGGAAAAGCCAGGTTTGCGTGCCAAGTCTAATTTTGCGAGTTTTGGGCAAGCATTTTTGGTCCAAACCTGCCTTGCCCTAGTAATCACCTTTTTAATACCTAAATCTTGTAATTAAATTTTTGGTGTTAAAATTATTTTGTTAAAGTCGCTCGTTTAGCTACTCTAATCAACTTCTAAAATAATGTCCTTGAAGAATGTATGAGTTGCAAATAAAAGAATACAGCTGTCCGCTGGGCAATATATACTCACTTATTTTCTCACTTGTTCCCCACCTTAGCCTTATACACTCTTTTACTCGGCTTCTTAATTCTTACTCGTATTTATAGTGCTAATGCATAAGGATGACATATATTAAGTGTATTATTATAGATAATCGATAATAAACAGTTGGTTTATCTTTGCAGAAGAAACTGATCGAACAAGTTAGTGTACTTCCTACAAGTATTATGGATGACAGAATTTACAAAGCAGCTACAGATGGAAATATGAATATATTTTCGGAGGGTGAAACTCTTACTGCTTATAAGAAAAAGTTTAGCCAAGCATGTGATGGAAGTAATATCTTGCACATAGCCCTTCGCATGGTCATATATCCTTCATTAAAACGATTATTTTCATCTTATATATTGGAAGGACTCCAAAGGAGATACACCTTTACATCTTGCTGTTGGACTTCAAACTTCTTGGAATAAAAGTTGACTTAAAACCGGCCCCCTACCTTGGACTTTGAGAAATTCAAAAGGAAATACGTTCCTTTATGAAGCAGCAAGGTTTTGTTACTATGAAGTGATATCTCTACTATCAAAAGATAACAATAATATTAAGGATGTGAATGACCATGGTGAGACTGTTCTTCATGTGATAGCAGGATATGCAACTTCTGCTGGTTAGTTTTTATCCCTTTGTTAAATACTTCCTCTTTATGAAATCAAGTCGGATAGATTGATTTGGGTTTTGTGTTTGATTAGTGCAGTGTGGAAGATAGACAATATTTTTATTTATTTATTTATTTATTTTTGAAGGGATGGAAGATAGACCATATAATGTTATATAATACAGTAAAATATATAAAAATGAGAAATAAAAGTATCAGTCAACATTTCCTACTCCACGGGAGCACTCTTTTTTTCAAAAACTACCTTTTAAACTTTGACTTTTGCAAATAACTAACTATATGATTTGTTTGGCTTAGTGTAAAGAATTCAACACATTTCAATGAATATTACTAATCATTTAAGATTTAAATTTTTTAAACTAAAATATAATCGTGCAAAATGCACGAAATATATATATATATACAGAAAGATACGAAAAAATATAATTAAAAAAATATATTTGAAAAATGGGAAATGATTTTGATATTAGTAACAAACTTATATATGACTCGCTATACCGCGTGATAAGCTATTATGGGAGTTAATTTGCCAATTTTATAGAAATTACCCGCATTGCTATAAGGGTTATTTCGTCAGTGTTATAAGGATTAATCGTTCGGTGTTATAGGGGTTATTTCGTCAGTGTTATAAAAATTACTCTAGAGGTGATCAACATTGGCCCAACCCACTAGCTCGGCTCGATCCGGACCGAAAATAGGGTGGGTTTGGGCAAGGCTAAAAACGCAATTTTAGAACCCGAGCCTGGCCCAAAAAACTGACAAGCCCGTTACTTTTTTTTCAGGTTTGGGCATGAGATATATTGTTAAGGCCCGGTCCGGCCTGGTTTTTTGATCACCTCTAGATTACTCGTTTGATGTTAAGGGGTTATTTCGTCATTGTCATGGGGATACTTTAATCATTTGCAAGCAGCCACACTAATGGCTTGTGGCACAGAAAACTTAATGTGCTGCATATATATTTTTTGTGTATTGATGATTAGTGCATTAATAATAATGTAGTTATTGAATGATTTTCAAAAATATCCTTCAATGTTATATATAGGGGGTCAATGTGTTCATTTCCAAATAGCCACATCGTGTGGCTTGTTGCACAAAAACGTGTTGAATATATTTTTTGTTTTGATGATTATTGGATTAATAATAACATAGTTATTGATTTTTTTTTTTTTTTTTTTTTGAGGAAAACGTAGTTATTGAATGATTTTGAAAAATATTAAAAACAATTGTAATTTTTTTCTTAAAAACAAAAATAAAAAGGAACTACACATAATTTATGATTGCAATTATCAAGTATTATATTAAAAGGTAAGGAAAAAATTTGTGCATTTATAATATAGATTTCTTTTAATATTGGGGTTTGTAAAAAAAAAATATTGGATATTATAATAAAGTAGGTAGTTTAGTTTTTTTTTTTTTTTTTTTTTTTTTTTTTTTTTTTAATTATTATTTGTAATATTAATTAAAATGGATCGTATGTGTGTTATTAAGAAAAATAATAAGAATAGTGGAAATGGAAGATATTCGAAGGTATTTTATATAAAAAAAATAGTGAAGTGGAAGTTTATTAAGGATAGTCCTAAAAAAAAGGGAGTGCATATAATTAAAAGATTGAGGTTTTGAAGTGTTGTGATGAAATGTTTGAAATTTATTTTGTTAAATATCCTAGGTTCAAACATAACTAGTATGTAGTTCGTGCGATGCACGAGTTAATTTTTTGGCTATATATATATTTTTAAATATAATAATTGTACTATTATTTATTTAAATTGTTTTTAGATTTTTTTTTTTGAAATTCAAAACATTTGTAAAATATAAATTCTACGAAGTACAAAGTATTTTATTATTATTAGTAAATTAAATACTATGTAAATGTAATGCCATCTACTCTTATAAAAAAAATTATGTCATACCACATGTATCTATTTTCAGGCGTTGACTCCCATGTGCCTTACACGTAACCCTTACTTCTCCTAATTGCACCCCTTTTTCCTAAACCCCGACTTTTTTCAATTAATCCCCAATTTAGAAGGTCTTTAACTTGCTAACATTAATGGGGGGGATGGATTAATGTTTTTTCAGACATTAATGGTGTTGCAAGGGTGAGAGAGAGAATACAGGTCTAATTGAAAAGGGTGGGGTTTTAAATAAAAAAAAATTGGAGGGAAAAGGGGTGCAATTAGGAGAAATAAGGGTCACGTACAAGGCACATGGGAGTCAACGCCGGAAAAGGGTGAGTCAACGCTTGAAAGTGGAGCTTGGTCGTTTCTAAAAAAAAAAAAAATTATTAAGGTTTGACATTGCCAAAAAAAAATTTAAAAGGTTGTGACAAAAAATGTCTTTTACAACAATTTTTTATATACCGATCAATATGATAATAAAGGTTACTATGTTAAAATTATGGTCAATATATATGTTCAACATAATGCCGTAATTCAGGTTTACAATAATATTAAAGGTCACACAAGTCTTAATAAAAGATATTACCTTAAAAATAAATAAGGTTACTATGTTAAAGTTAAGGTCACTATGTTTATTAGGATATATTTTAGGAGATGATAATATTGTGAAAAGTATTTTAGAATATATTGTGATCAGTGGCGGACCCACGTGTAGTCATAGTGGGTCCGCGGACAACCTATTATTTTCTATATAAAAAAAAAAAACTAAGTATCAAGAGTTTTAGCTTGTAGTTTGGTGGTTTGTTCCCCATCCTACCACATATGAGATACGGGTTCAACTCCCATTACTCTCAAACTTTTTTTTTTTTTTTTTTGGGCTTTACAACCTCATTTTCACAATTTCACGATTTAAAATATCCCCAAATCCCCAATTCTCCCAAATTGAAACCCTAAGTCTCAAAGTCACCCAATTACCCAAGCCCCGTCGCCGTTCACCGTATCGCCGCCTCGCCGTTCACCGTATCGCCGCCTCGCCGGCAGCCCCGTCGCCGTGCATTAATTAGTAGAGAATTGAAGAGTGAGAAGATGGAAAAACCATCTGTTAGCTATGGATATGCTGAGAAAGCTAAGAAAGGGGAGGATTTTTACTTGGTTAAAACTGATTGTCAGAGAGTTCCTGGCAATTCTGCTTCAACATTTTCAGTTTTTGCTGTATGTGATCTAACTTTATTTTGATTTACATTTTTGTTTTGGATTTGAGTATAATTGTATAAACAGTTTTTTTTTTAGCAATTGGGTCCTTTGTTTTTTTAATTTTTTTGCTGTTTTTGGGTTTTTGTTGATATACAATTGTAATTTATTGTTGTTTTTGCTTCATTTTAATTGTTCAATATTCATGTATTAATGCTAGTGTTATGGCTGTTATTATTTTTAATTTATTGTTTTGATTCTTTTTGTTTATGGTTATATAATTCTCCGAATAATAATTGCTAATAATAGAGTGATGTAACCAAAAAAGATAATAATAAAAATAAATAAAATAGAATGATTCTGGATGGGCCTTTTAGATAGATGCTTAATTTGTTGGGGATTTTGATGTGTGTTGATCTAGTCTCAAGATTATATGTAATAGGGATTTGTAACAATCTGACTGATTCCAGATCTATATGTTCACTAGTTCCATTCTGAATTTAACTAGTTAGGAATAATTTTTCAATTTTGGCTGCATTTTTTTTAATCACAATCTGAATTTATGCTAGTATAGGGCATGTTCAGTCATTTTCTAAGAATTGTCAAATTTTTAATCTCTTTTTGCTCTTGGCTGATATACAGATTTTTGATGGGCATCATGGAAATGCTGCTGCTATATACGCTAGGGATAACTTACTGAATCATGTGTTAGCTGCGATGCCTCGAGAGCTTGGTCGTGATGAATGGCTTCATGCCTTACCTAGAGCACTAGGAGGGCAATGTTTACTTTAGCCCTGTACGATTACTTGAGACAAAATATCTTAATGTTTATTTTCTGGTTTAATTTAAGATGAACGCTCCAGAAATTTGAAGCTATTAAGAAATAGAGCATTGACAATGTAGTGCCCGCTGAGTTCCTAATTTTGAGAAACTCACTAGCATTGACTCATTTCTAGAGCATCCTTTATTACTTAGATTGGATTTTTTTTCTGAGTTTTTGATTGTAAGTTGACATGAACTATAGCTTGCTGAATTGAGCTTCCTAATTAAATTATGACCAGTCCTAGCATAAGATGTGTGTAAAGGGGTTATTTTTATAGCTTAATGGGTAGTTGATCAAGGATTGGTGACTGTTGATGATTGAATAGGGCCAATAGGGGTGAACTTTGTCTTGGTAGCATTGTTCAATGACTTATGCACAATTCTCCTGTGACTGTATGGGAGTGTCTTATAGAGTTCATTTAAATTACTTTAGTTCAAATGGTAATGCTTGCCATCCATAGAAAATGATGTTTATAGATATGAATGCTTCTGACTTTCTGAGCTTTGAGGTAGAATATATGCTGGTAACTTGGAGTTTTAAAGCACGAGATTTGTTTGAACAAACATTGACTAATTGTCATGAGACCATGTATACCGTACAAGGGAAGTAGATTTGCATTGACATAGACCCCGAAAAAGGTGTATTCAAGTTTGTGTTGATTGTTGAACACTTAGGTTGAGATCTTTCAGGGATTTGGTTTAGAGTTCAGGTTTTGTATAGTACAAGGTCGATGGACGATGATACAAGCTTTGACTATTTTTTGATATTATATGCGGTCGATGGACGATGATGGGACAACCTATTAATCAAATCCTGGATCCGCCACTGATTGTGATATTGTGACTTATCTTAGGTTATTTGGCCTTGCCCTCCAAGTATACCTAATTATAAATATTTTATGAGGCCGATGTTGATTAATGAGAATTACAGTGATAATTATTCAATTATATTTTAGCATGGTATCAAGAGCCTTAGAGAGATCCAATTTTTTTAATTTTTGTGCGTGATATTCATTGTTCACGTACAATTCGTGTGAGGGTGAGAGTTCACTACTTTGCAATTTTTTCCCCCCTTTGTGAGATAATTAATCATGACTGGTGGTGGCGATGGAGGCAAACCAAAGGTGGACTTGACGTTTCATCTTGGTTCCAGCGATGCTTCGGGGAATGTAATTATCCCTATTCAACTCCGTGGTGACAATTATGATGAATGGGCAAGAGCTTTCCGTACTTCCTTGAAGGCGAAGAGAAAATATGGTTTCATTGATGGATCCGTTGCTAAGCCGATGGACATTGAAAAATTGGAGGATTGGGTGGCTGTTCACTCGATGTTGGTGTCTTGGTTGTCAAATACTTTGGACTTGACAATTCGATCTACCCTTGGTGACTATGATGATGCGAAATTGCTTTGGGACAACCTTCAAAACCGCTTTTGTGTGGTGAGCAGGACCCGAGTTTGTCAATTGAAGACTACCTTGGCCGATTGCAAGCAAGGCAAATTTGAATTAATTTCTACTTATTTTGGCAGATGGTCGAAGATTTGGGACGAACTTACCACTTACATTTCGAGTCCCGAATGCAAGTGTGGCAAGTGCACATGTAATATTGTGCAGAAACTTGTTGAGAAATTTGAGGGATCGGAGGATGACTACGTTCATCACTTTTTAATTGGCTTGGAGTCTTCATATGCTGCTCTAAGGGCATAACTCCTTGCTCAAGATCCTTTACCAACGGTAGACAAGGCCTATCAACAGGCCATCCAAGCAGAACGATTGCTGGAGGGGAGGTTCCCACTCCCAATGAAGACCACACCAATGCCGTGGCTTTTAAATTGCATGGAAGCAAATCTCAGATTGAAAATAGCGACAAAATCTGTAATCATTACAACAGGGAAGGCCATTATGAATCTGGGTGTTTTCAAATTCATGGCTTCCCTGAGTGATGGGGGGATCGTCCTCAAGGGGGGCGTGGACCAGGTCGTGGCGGTGCGTCGGCTGGTCGAGGTGCATGTCGCACAGGTGGAAGGGGTAGCGGGAGCTGCCCCTCCTGCTCGCGCTAACAAAACAGGCAGACAGCCCGGTTCTTAGCCATCGCAAGGGGCTGCTGCTACTGCTTCTGACGGAGCAGCTCTTGCGGGGGTCACGAGTGCTCAAATTCAGCAATTACTTGATTATTTAAATTCTATCAAACCCAAGCTTCACGGTAAGAATGATTTGGGTTGGTATATTGACACCGGTGCCTCAAACCATGTGACTTGTGATCTTTCTCTTTTGACGAATGTGAATCATTATCCGGTGGGATTGCCGGATGGGAATTTTGCTAATGCTTCTAAAATTGGATCAGTGATATTGTAAGGAGGCTTAATTATTCATAATGTTATTTATGTGCCTCAATTGAATTGCAATTTGATTTCGACGACTCAATTATGTGACGAATCAAATTTTGTCATGCAGTTTACTAATAAACTTTGTATTATACAAGACCTAACGGACGAGGAAGGTGATTGGAGCGGTTGAACAAGTAGATGGGCATTATTATTTCTGGGGTGTTGCTACGGTGAAGGCTTTGAAGATAGATGGGGATCATTCAACAAAGTTGTGTCATCCTTTGGGAAAAGTTCTACAATAACTTCCGTTTGTGAGTCGTAGTAGTAGTAAATTTTCATTCATGTGATGTAATGCCCTCGGGTAAAATAACATAGGAGCAGTTTTCCTTTGAGTCAAAATAAAGCTAGTCGAATTTTTGAGCTAGTCCATTTAGATTTGTGGGGGTCTTAAAAGACCTCATCGTCTTGTGGTGCTCATTATTTTTTTAACTATCGTATAGTAGATGATTATTCTAGGGGTGTATGGACCTATTTGATAAGAAGTAAAACGGAAGTTGATTTTATGTTTTACAATTTTGTTGCTATTGTTAAGCGTCAATTCTCTCAAGAAATTAAAATAGTACGTAGTGATAATGGTATGGAATTTAATTCCTTAAAGATTATTTTTTTTAAAAATGGAATATATTTTTGAGATCTCGATCGTGTGTGGGCACGCCTCAACAAAATGGGCGTGTTGAAAGAAAGCATCATTATATCTTGAATGTTGCTAGGGCCTTGTGGTTGCAAGCAAATTTGCCTCTCAAATTTTGGGGGGAGTGTGTGGAAGCGACTTGTCATTTGATTAATAGAACTCCGTCTCAATTGCTTGATTATAAAACCCCTTTTGAAGCCTTATTTGAAAAACCATCTTCATATGAGTATATTCTGGTGTTTGGGTGTTTATGCTATGCTTATAATCTACGAAGCAAGGGTGATAAATTTGCGTGTAGGAGTCGCAAATGCGTGTTTTTGGGTTCCCCTTTTGGGAAGAAAGAAGAGTGGAGAGTATATGACTTGGAAACAAATGAGTTCTTTGTATCAAGGGACGTTCAATTCTTTGAGAGTGAGTTTCTGTTTTGGGTTACTCAGAATAAGCCTACTTCGATGGTGCCTCACTTTCCCACCTTGGAGGAGGCATATAGTGGTGATGAGTGGAGTGAAGAAAGGGTAATAGGCGTGGGAAAGCAGCCACAAATAGTAGAGTCCACGACCAGGCTGCGGGAGGAAGTGTTGAGCCGCGACCAGGCCGCGGACAACACTGCTTGTGCTGAGAAGTAGTAGCCAACAACAGGTTCCGCAACCAGGCCGCGGGGGGAAGAGATGGGTCGCGACCAGGCTGCGGACAGCACTGCAAGCCTTGGAGATTTGCGGGCTGGTGGTCTAATTTGAAGCACAACAACAACACATTCGATTGGGGAGTGAGCAGGACGTTACTATGGGTCATGGTGAGCTCACAGTTGACAGTGATGATGCAACAACATCAAGTGAAAATGTGAATGACTTGGGGAAAGGCAAGAGACAAAAGTTTCCTTTGACAAAACTCCGTGACTATGTGACACACACCATCCCAAATAAAAGTCCATCTACAATTCCAACTCAAAGTTCACCCGTGAAGTCACTTCCCTCAGGTACTGTTTACCCCATAACACATTTTGTTGATTCTCACTGTATTTCTGTGAAACATAGGAAATATATTGATGCTATTACAGGAGGAAATGAACCCAAAAGTTTCAAAAAGGCCATGAAACACGAGGGTTGGAGAAAGGCTATGGCAGATGAGAATCATGAGATGCAGGCACTAGAAGAACAGGGCACTTGGGTGCTAGAAAATATACCACCTGGTAAAAAGGCACTCGAGATTAAGTGGGTGTACAAAGAAAAATACGATGAGCATAGGAATTTGTAGATATTAAAAGCGAGACTAGTTATTTTCGGCCATCATCAGGTTGAAGGACTAGACTACAATGAGACGTTTGCTCCGGTAGCAAAAATGGTGACAGTTCCCCTTTCTTGCAGTTGCGGCAGTGAAAAATTGGGATGTCCATCAAATGGATGTTCATAATGCTTTTCTTCATGGAAATTTGGGGGAAGAGGTATACATGAAAATTCCCCCTGGCTTTGAAAATAATAATTCTGACAAAGTTTGCAGGATGAAAAAATCATTGTACAGTCTCAAATAAGCTCCCAGGTGTTGGTTTGCAAAGTTAGCTACAACTTTGAAATCTTATGGCTTTAAACATTACAGTCTTACTATGATTATTCTTTATTTACTCTGACAAAAGGAAAGATGCAGCTAAATGTATTAGTATATGTCGATGATTTAATTATTGCAGGCAACGATAAATCTGCTATGATTGATGATATGTCGTGTTTTGTGTATATTATTTGGCTTATTTTTAGTTAGTTTTGTCAGTTTAGTTGAGTATTTGAGTTCGTTTTGGCATATTTTGCTTTAGTTTGGATAATTCGATGCTTTTATGGGTAGTTGTGTTGTTTTTTATGAATTTCAGGAATAATGGAACTAATTTGGATGAGTTATGGATCCATGAAGTAAGCCGAGGCCCACGAGCCTTCACGAAGCGTGATGATTGAAGAAAGGACTATTTAGGGCTTTTTGGAG